GTCGATGCGAGATAAGGCTCATAATCAGCCGAACACTCTTGATACTATTTGGACGTTTACTTGTAACTTGATAGTTACTACAGAACAATATTTCACTGGACAGGAATCCTAAGAAGGAAACAAATACTAAAGAATACATCTAATTTTAGACTTAACCGAAATTATAATAACTTTTGATGGAACCTGAGAACTTAAACCGAACCCTACAAGCTTTCACCGAGCACTATTAACTTGGACCAAACGTTTTGGAGTTTAACCGAACACTCTTAATACCTGATGTAAATATATTAAAGAATATTATAAGACCGAGTACTTGGTCTATGATCGAGTACTACTTAAACCGAGCACCCGGTCTATGACCTAGTACTGTAGAGACCGAACGCTCTAGCAAATATAAATATACAAGGCCGACCACGAAAACAACCTAACATCTATTCACATACTGAAAACAACTATAATGTTCATTACTTAACTCATTTGAATACCTTGACTAGACTGATAATTAAGTAGAAATAGAAAACTAAACATAACTAAATATTTAGTGTGCTAACCTACCAATAGGAGACCGAACGGTCAATAACTTAAAGTCTCTTTATAAGGAGAATCCAGTTAAGACCGAACACAACAAAGGAAAACCAAACGGTCACTAATGACTTTCGGTTACAGTTTACATTATTTTGCAGATTATTACAGAATCACTCTCAGACTATATTCCTACCCTTTTCATGGCTTTCATCAATCATCAACACTTCCAAACAAACATGCAATATTTCAACATCAACCAAATCATCAAACATAACTTCATTCCAGCAAGTAAACAATCATCAAACGAGAATCTTAATTAAATTATAAGCTTCCCTTACCTCTAAATCTTAGTCGAATGCTCACAGTTTGCAGAGAATAGATCACCACCAGAATTCCTAGAGTCCTAAGGTCACGATTTGTGAAACTAAACCAAACAAAAGACCAAAAATACTCAGAATGAGTGGATAAACTCATGCAACCAAAAATCAGGGTTTGCATGTGACAGAAAACTAACGTTCCAAGGAGAAAGTAACTCACCGGCTTGAAACCACCACTTGATCGGTTTAAACGAAAGCCCTTGACACTGGGAGAGTTCAAAACGGTGCCTGAGTGGTGATCGGAAGAAGAAAAGATGAAAATTTCTTAGAGAGAAGGTGGAGATTATAGAGAGAAGGAGGAGAAAATGGAGTTCAGCAGTTTGGAGAAGAAAGGTGGATGCAGAAAGTGGGACCGAATTTTAAAATCTCGACTTAAATACCCCTGCTAAAATCGATCGGTCCACTCTCCTGCAGTCACCTGTCTTCTACTCTCTGAAAATTTGAACATTTTTCCTTGACACCTGGCTTCCACTACTTGAGATTTTTAATGAGTTCTGACAGTGATAGTATATAATAAGTTTTTAAATATGATTACTTTGAATTATTAAATATTTAAAAATGATAAAAAATTGATTTACAGATAATAATTTTAAAACCAAATATTATTCTTGAATGTAATCATGTAAAAGCCATTACATGGTCAACGACTTTGTAAGGTGGATCTTTATTGAATGCAATTAGTGTATGAAATGGAAGTGTGAGAGATTAGAAAAACAATTCTTAAATCGCATAATGATTAAATTCACTGAAACTGTTTAGAATGATTCACGTGCAAAAATTAAATGATAAATATTATTTAGTGACACGCTCCCTCTCACACCAAATAGTAATATATTATTATTAATTATTATTATTATTATTATTATACCTCGAATTGATGAGACAAAGCTGAAAAGAGATAGTGGAAAATTCATATTAAGAACACATAATGAGACTATTATCAATCTTTAGAAAACTGCTCTATATTGAACGTGTTTCTAAAAGCAAAAATCTCAAAACTATTTAATTGTTTACATACAATTTTGATCTTGAGTTTTTGAAAGTGACCAATAAGATGTATGGGCTCTTATCAGCTGAATACCAAGGTTTGTCCACAATATAATTAACACCCAAAAGTGAATGTTTGTTTTTTTTTCTACACCTCCCTTTTTTTCTTTCTGCAACATAATAGAACTCAAACGCCAAACTAGTCCTATTAAAAGTTATACTAAAAAGCTAAAAATTACCAATGCATTTTCATTTTTTAAAGCATTTAGAATTGTGCACTGAAAGATATTTTTAGATTTTAAAATATATTTCAGAATTTACATTTTAAAATATATTTCAGAATATACCCTAAAAAAATTATTTTGAAATATACATTTCTAAACGTATTTATGGATTTAGAACATATTGGATAATCCAAAATATATTTAGATAAAATTACATTCGGAATAAAAAACTGAAATACGTTAAAAAAATACTTTCGATATTATGTTTGGGAAGTATTTCCAAATTGGGTTTTCTTATTCTGGATTGGATTTCTTCTCCCTGTGTTTCCTCACCCAACTGGAGAGCTAGGCTGGTTATGTTTCTTCTCCTTCATTATTTACTTCTCTATGCCATGGAATTGTTTGGGAAGCAAGCTTCTCATTTGCATGTCTAAGCTGATTCTGGGTCTATGTGCATGATGCATTTCTTCTCTCATGATCTTCTGAGTAAAGGTGGAGCCATTGTAGCCAACAATTTCATTGTATCATGAGAAGTACCTTGTTGCCTCAAACACATCAAGCTCGTCAGAATCGTTAGGAAGGAAGAATTTGTGATTATTTTCTCGATACATGAGGCTGGTATTGGATATCACCAGTGTAAAATAGGCATACAACGTCTAATATTTAACTAAGCACGTTAAAAATTATGGATGGCAATATCGTAAATAAAACCGCGTGATTGACGTTAGTTGGTTAGAGGAACAAACTTTAATTATCTTTTCGACGTCTCTTGGTCAAGCAAGAGATGGTGTTCAAATTCATAAAATTTGAGCATGAAGATATTTTAAGAGACTCATTAAACGTTTGTTGGTCAAAGGAACAGACGGTAATTGCATTTTTTACGTCTCTTTGATCAAGAAATATGATGGCAATACTCTAGTTAGGACAAGCCAAATCTTGAAGCAAATCAAGCCATAAGTTCATGGATGAAGATTGCGGAATTTGGTGGTGGTGAAAGGTGTTGATAACTCATGGTTTTAGTGAGTTGTATGGTGATGGAAGATGTGTTTAAGGGTTCTCTAAGAGAGGTTGGGCCAACTCTTGGAGGAAGGTGGCTAGATGAGGCCACTTGAGTTGCTCTAGCCTAGGGTGACCTTAAAAGAGTAGTATTGTACAAAAATGGTAGCATAACTTTACTCTAAATCAAAGGTGATTACATGATGGAGAGCACCTCTATTTATAGGCTAAGGTGTCTCAAAATAGGCTAAAACTTTAACCTAAAAAAGTCACCTTGGTTGGCTTGGAGTGCAAGGAGAAATCCTTTCCAATAGGAGGGAGACAAGTGGCAAAAATCCTCTCAAATGAGAGAGTGACATATGACCACTACCTATGGAAAAACTCTCCATTTCTAGAGTGACATATGGCCACTAACTAGGAGGAAAACTCTCCAATGGGAAGCTTTCACATGTCTTGGACAAAATTCTTCTCCCTTGTTCTCCAAGCTTAGCTAAAATTTTGACTCCTTGGTCAACACACCCATTTTGAAGGTCCAAGGATAGTCAACTTTGAGCCTTGGCCCTTTGTTGACTTGTTTGGTCAAAATCATATTATACTTGGCCCAAAATACAAGATCCAATTGAAATCCTACAATACTAGGCCTATAATACAAAGCTCAAATAAAATCTAGACTACTTGGCCCAAAATACAAGGCCAAAGTTATTCTTACTCTACTAAATCTTCATGATGACTTAAGATGGCCCAAGAGAAAAAATCTAGGTTCATCTTTCATAGATGCCTCCAACACTTCATGAATGTGCTAGGTCATGGCAAGGGATATGCCATCATCCCCTCCCTCTTGAAAAGGATTTGCCCTCAAATCTTCTTATTCTCTTATGACAAAAACATTTTTCTTATTATTGGTTAATTTGTGTATTTTTCCACCATGATCAAAGATTCATATGCAAGTGTCATCAAACTCAAAACCAATAATCTTATGAGCCACAAACAACATGTATCTAGATGAAAGATTTAAATAAAACCTTATGCTAATTTTAAAAGAATTTACTTCAAAACTTAGAAGGTCTACTCCACAAAAATTGTTTGTGTTTACTTTGAGTTAATTGTATCCTAAAAGGTAACATCAATTCAAAGTTTGATTTGGAAAAATTTGAGGAGTTAAAAATAGTTGAAGGTGAAAAAGAAGTTGCAATTTCAAAAGTAAAAAATAGAGTTATGAAATATGGTTGGATGTATTGAGAAAAGTTCAAGGATTGTAAAACTCCCTTCATCATCTTAGTCTCAACCTTAATTGTGGGAGTGATATGGGGCTTTAGTAACTCTTCCTCTTCTTCTTTTATCTCAATCTCTTGTTTTTCTCTCTTTTCTTTCTCATTCGTTTCTTTTATCTTTTTCTCTTTATACTCTCTTCTTATTTCCTCCTCCTTTTTCTCTCTTCTTACTTGCTCCTCTTTCTCTTTGTTCTTTCTCTCTTTTCTCATGCTCTTCTTTGTCCCTTTGTTCTTTCTTCCTTCTTTTGTCTTCCTCTCTTCTTCTCTTTATCCTCCTTAAATCCTTTTGGACTTTTTCTTGTTTTTCATTAAGAGTTCTAAGTTCTTCTTCCAACTTAGCAAGATACTCTTCTCTTTCAATTCTTTATTTTTCTTTGAAAAGAGTTTCTTCCCTTTGCCAAATTTTAAGTGACTTTAGCTCTTTTGCTAAAATTTTCAAAGTGGGTTTTACATCCTCACTAGAGTCACTTCCAATTTCATAGAAATTAGTCTTAGACATCCTTAAAGGTTTTCAAAAAGATGCATTGCAACAAACAAATACTTAAATTTCAAAGAAAGTTCCTTAAGACTCTTAAGGAGGCAAAAGACAACCAAGTTCACTTCTAGGAAAGGGAGGTGAATCAGAATGGATTTCTTAAATACCAAACATTTCCTAGCCAAAGTTTACCTTAGCCACTCTTAAACCAGATTTCTCAAAGGGAACTAAAGTTGAAATTAAAGTTGACACACTAAGCTATCATAATTAAAGAAAGCAAATAAACTAGCTATGAGGCCTAATGATTACGTTAGAAGAACTTTGGTTCCTCCAACCAACCAACTAAAAAAACAAAAATTACTATGAAATAAAGGTTCTTTGTTAGGAGATGGGATTGGGCACCAAAGACTCCCCTAAGACACCTAACAAGGTTGTGAGTTACAAGAGAAAAAAAAAATTACAAAACCAAAAAATTACAAACAAATCAAAGCTTCCTCCCAAGGTGTTTCTCTCCTTTCTTTTTGGCTACCACTCTAGACTTCAAGTTCCCTTTGGGTCTCCACCGCCTAGAAGGCTACCTCTAAGATATTGGATCACCTCACAAAGAGAACCTACACCACACAAAGTAACCAAAAGTGTAGATACCGTTCGGTCATTCACTCCTTCCTCCCACCGTTCGGTATTAGTGTAGATATCGTTCGGTCATTCACTCCTTCCTCCCACCATTCGGTATTAGTGTAGATACCGCTCAGTCCTTCACCCTTTCCTCCCACCGTTCGATATTAGTGTAGATACCGTTCGGTCCTTCACACCTTCCTCCCTTATCGTTTGGTCCCTTACCGTTCGGTACGCTTCTTTTTCCTCCTTTCATAAACTTTCCACTTCCTAACACTCCCTCTAATGGAATGTGTTCAGCCAACTGAAGTAATTCATGTCAAGTCAACAACAAGAAATAAGTACAGAACGGTAACAAAACAAGAGCATAATAATAGACACTAAAAAACACAAAGTATTCAAACTTGGAGACTTCTGGAAATAAAATAGATATAGGCGGTAATCAAGAAATTCATGTCACAAGACTAATGCTATCACTGTTAATTAAAAACCACCCAACAGAATACTAGGCATCCCTCTAATCTAGCAAGAAACACTTCATACCCATTTTTCCAGAGGTAGCATTGTACTTTTCACTTTCACACTATGTTTCCATCTTTTCGCTCTGCAACCTGTATGTTTTTCCCATTCACTAAGTGTTTGCTTCCTCGATCCACAAGAGGCAAATTGCACATGACTCTACAAGAAAAGAAAATTACAAGCTGCTCAATGAAATTTTTTAGGGACGAACTCAAATCCATTCACATGGAGTTCTTTTATGCTTCTCAAGCTGTTTTCTTGGTATAGAACCTGTGATAAACAATACTACTGAAAATTATATATTTTCTGAGATAATATTGGATGAATGCTAACATAAAAGTCAACTCCAAAATCATAAATAAAATAAATGGATATACAAAAAAGAACTTCTAAGTCCTTGGGGGCAAAAGAACTTCTGTCATATACCACTAAACTTCTGTCATATATTTTATTTAAATTAATTTAATTTATTCTGTTACTTTAATCCACTAATAGGGTGAAAACACACTCCTATATTTGTTCTGTTTACATAAAGACAAATAAACAAAGTGAGGAATCTCTCTTAAAAAGGTAAATGCTTAGTTTTGGTGAGAAGAATTTGTACTGTCTAGTTTACTATCATTACAATTTTTTACTAAAATATCTACGAAAGTTGATTGTATAATGATTCATAAAACCTGAGCATGAAGCAGGAGTAATTATGTGAAGGGTTCTGATTAATCTTTGTCGTTTTTTAATTAATTAATTATTGGTCCAATTATAGTTTATGCAAATTATTTATATTGAAGGAAAAGATTATAAAATATGTTAGGAGAATGTGAAAAAAACGAGTACCTTCTTTTGCTTCTTTTGCACAATGGTGGAACAAACTCTATCAGACACATAAAAACCTGAGAAAGGAAACAACATTGTGCATATAACTTCATAACCTATTTAATTAAAGCGAAATCAAATATGCTTTATGCGAAATGGCCAAATTAACAAAACATAGGTCATAGTGAAGCTCTAATAGGTAAATTGAAAATGCATATAAAGCAAGAGAAAGGTAGAACAAACAAACGAGATTCGCAAAATTCCAATAGGTATTAGGTTCTCTAATTTCTAGGGTTTTCGGAATAGTGTAGCGGTTGAAAAACGGAGTTCAAACGAAAGGCCAAGCAATTAGGGATTGCAGAAGAATATAACTTACCGGTGAGGGACCAACGACGAAGGATACCGTCGTACACTCCCTAACGAATCGCGAAAAAGGAGTGCAAGTCAAAAACTGCAGTGGAGAGAAGACGGTCCTGAACTGTGAAAACAGACAAGATGGAAACTGGAAAATGGAGAAGCAAATGTTCAGCTGTGAAGGCACTGGAGAACAAAATGGAAAATGGAGAAGAAGAAAGAGGAAACCTGAGGTAGCAAGAAGGATTTGAGGGAATTTTTTTAGCAGTTACAGGATGTTTTTACTAACAAACCGCTAAAAATATAACGTTAAAAACGTAAACATTTATTTATTAAAAAATAAATTCAAAAATTAAGGACGGTTTAGAAGAAAAATTGCCAGAAATATATTTTAAAAAAAATAATTAAAAACTTAACTGCGGTTTTAGAAAAAATCGACCGAAAATTATATGAGGTTTTTAATACTGCCAGAATTTAACCCGTGTTATAATATACTATTTTTGTAGTGACCTTGGCCTCGACATCGGTTGACATGTCACCGAGCATTCATGCAAGCAATATCCCCTTAAGAGTTATAACTTGTATTAAACAAAAGAACATTAAGGATAACTAATCATACGGAAAAAACTTAAAAATAGGATAAATCTATAGAATATAAGTCCATAAAGGTAATGGTTCATATAGTACCATAAATAATTACTATTTTTGAGGTATGTCATTTATACAGCACACTGATAACTTGAGCGTCAAAGGATTTTTGCATGCTTCTCAGCCAAGGACTCTCACTACCAAATCAAAAGAAGACATATCGACAAAGAGATACCTAAAACATATCAAATCAAAACGTGAAGAGCACACAGGTGGACACATGTTGTTGTGAGATATCTCAATCTTGTAAGAACAATTGACATCATGGGGTTGAATTATGTCTATACATATGATGTGTACTAGAAACATGCAAGAAACGAAAAAACATAAGTACCTAGTGATGGTTCCAACCAAATGACAATGCTTATGGAGTTATAAAGAGAGTTAGCTAATTTGTCGAAGAGATGGATGTGCCAAAAGCAGGAATGATAAAATGAAGAGGAAGTTGGAAGAGGTAGTAGGAGAGAAAAGTCAATCTCAACCTAGCAAAACACAAATGACGTCTCCACTTTGGACACACATTGAAATTTGTAGAAAAAGTATGTAAGGTACAAATCAGCTCATGACTGTTACCACTAACACATCCACATTACTCTCAAGAGCAAGACGACACTCTTTCATAGATGGTATAATGGAAACATCCCTCCCACCTAATTGGAAGGCCTTTACAATAGACATATTCGATGACACCATTGATCTCGATGAACATATAAATATTTACATTACCAAAATCAACTTATATACAACTGATGACGTTTTCATGTGTAGGGTATTTCCTACCTCGCTTAATAACACAATCTTAAGTTGGTTTACTATGCTCCCACCTTTCTCTATCAACTATTACTTGTTTTGGTGCCTAGTTTGCTACAAGTTGACCTCACCACCTCACTTTAATCTCCTTGGTCAATATACAAAAAAGAGAAGGGAGAGTTTCTATAAATCACTACAAGAAAACCAGTAATTATCGATAGAATTTTACTAACAGATATTGATAAAGGACTATCCCTTGATCCTATAGAAGAATAACTTGAGGAAGAGTCATTGTAATTCATAGGACCTATGATAAGGTCAAGGAGCAAAAATTGGAAGAAAAAACTCTTCGAGGCTCATGATGTTCCATGAACATTAGAATTTAAAGGACATGAAAATCGTGGTCTGAAGAGAAATTATACAATAGTTTAGAAAATTAACGTATTTATAATTTTCTTTTAATTGCAAACAATTCATTTTTGTTTTTAAATTTTCAAGTTATTTTTAGGCCCGATTTCTTTAGGAATTCTTGTAAGATTTCTTAGGTGGCTTAAACATTTGTGCCTATATATAAGGACATTAAATACACATGTAGACACTTTTAAGTTATAATATATGCATTTGCATTCTTTTACACAAGAGTCTCTTGGTTCTTGGATTAGAACTCTGATTCTTATTAAAGATTAACATCTTTGTGGTGAATATTCACTTGACTTATCAATTTGCTAGATTGTGGTGTTCTCATCGTTGTCTTATTTTACATTCTTATCTAATTTATTTATTTTTCCTCTTAATGATTCGAATTCAAAAGCAATCGTACTATTTCTTGGACATAATCGTATCATATGGTTTCTAGAGCACGATTCTAGTTTAAATATCCTCTTTTATTTTATTTTCTGTCATATTAAAGAAAACCTAAAAATTATTGAATGTTTGTATTTTGTGTTTTGTTTAAAATTCTGTTTGGTTTCTTATTCTTAGAATTTTAGGAGTAAAACCCCTAATATTTTATCCAATTCTTTTGAGTTTTTAATTTTTCCTGTTCTTTGTGTTTTTTGTTTAAAATGTGCATTTCTACATTTGATTAAGGTAAATTATCTACTTTTGTGTTTTTTTGTTAATTAAAGTCTCAATTAAACCTTGATCTTGCATGAGGTTTGATGTTTTAAGGAAAATTTGTTTAGTTTTCTTTGTTTGTGTGTTGAATTACAATATTGAAAAAAAAAATAGTGTATCTAAGTCAAAAGGAAAAAATATATATTGAAAGAAAAGAAAAAAAGAAAGTAAGGATCCAAGAGTAAAAAAAAAAGTTAGTTCAACAAAATTTTCATATTATATTATTGCTTTTATATTGTACTTTTGTTTATGATGGTTAATCTATTGAATTATATTCGATCCTTTTTTAAAGTCTTCACATTGTCTCATTTAACTTTTTTTAGTAGTCCTGTTATTTTTTATTTTATTGTTTTATGTCTTTTAAAAGTCCTTAAAATTGTGTCTAGATTTTTGTATTTTCTTGAAACTTTTGAGTCAATCTTTAGATCTTACAACATTTTTCACATTGTTTGTTCACTCTTTTCTTAAGCTACTAGAGTTCCCTATCAAACGCTAAAGAAAAATTGAGTGGTAAAAGGTAAGAGAGTGCATACAAGAAAAAGCCTATAAGTGTGATATACAAGTGGAATTTAAGTGAAACACTTAGAATAGTGATAAGGTCCTAATATATTATTATTATTATTATTATTATTTACATTTTCTTGCAGGACATGACTTCTTCCCAAAATAGTAATCTTCCAACACTTAAGACTACAAAAATTATGACTACACATAAGAAGCTCAACTTACAAATGGCTCAAATGCAACAACACACTCAACTTACAAAAGTCTAATGAAGATGTGAGTGTGATATTGAAGGGAGTGGAGAGAAGGAGAAAGATACATGATGATTCAGACCATTATTCTCATAATGATAAAGAGGAGCATGTTTTTAGACCAAGGAGGGGTCAAGGACGAGAGGAGTTTGAGAACCACATGATTGGTAGGGATAATAAGCATGGTTTTAGATCAAGGCGAGCCAAAGATGAGAGGATTTTGGGAACCACATGCCTAGAAGAGATAATATGTGGATGGAGATTATAATCCATAAATTTAATGGAGCTAATGACTCAAAATTCTACTTGACATGGGAAATGAAGTGTAACCAAATCTTCAACTCTTATGAGTATGAGGATTACGATAAGGTTCTTATGGGCATCCTTGGAGTTTGAAAATTATGTTATGAATTGGTGGAATCAAATTACCGTGGACATAGTTAGAAGGAAAAGGTTGTCAATCTCTACATGGAAGCAATTAAAGGTAGATATGAAGGAAATATTTGTCTCCTTAATATAAAAAAGAGATCTTCAATAAATTACAAAGACTTACACGAAAAAATAAAAGTATTGAAGAATATGTATAAGAGATGGAGGTTACCTTGATAAAAGTTTATGTAGAAGATGCACCTATGGCTGTAATGACTAGATTCTTGAATGGGTTAAATAAAGAGATTCAAGATGTGGTGGAAATGCACCATTATGAGACTTTGGAGGATTTTATTCATCAAGCCACCAAATTGGAACAACAACTCAAGAGAAGAAGCTCTTATAAGATGATGGCTTGGGTCCTAGGACAAGTCACGTACCCATTATTCGGGGTATGGCTAGGAAGCTTCAATAAGACTTGGAAGAACTATCACAAGACGGACAAGCCTTATTTGCACACTTTGAATGGAAGCCAGAAGCTCAGCCAGACGAATCAACAAGAACCATACCAACTCATGGAGAGGGATAGAAAACTTGAAGAATCCATATCCGGGTGGTGCCTGAGCATCGAATCCTCCACCTCTCAAGCGCACGATGATCAGCAAAATCCAAAGAGCTCTTTCGCGCGTTGGAGTGCAGACCATGGGGCGTTCAAGCGCGGGCATCGTCAAACAGCTCATTCAACACGTGGTCCATGTGATTGTGATGACCCAGCACCTGAGTTGCACCCTTCCACGTGTCCTTAGATCCATAGATCACAGTTGATGATCAACCTTGTAAATCTGATGCACACAAGGGTGAATCAAGTATAAATTCACCCCTCATCTCTTGTAGAAAGGCACTTTTGATGGAATATATAGAGTAAACTCCACTGCCATCCCCAACCCTTGCTCTACACAAAAGTCATTCATAAATGAGCTTCCCTTGCACCATCTAGCTTCCTTCTAGTGTGAAGGCCGCCTGAGCTAGTTTCCACTCTCACTTAGAGCTCTTCTTCCACCACTTTCACCCACTATTTCATCACTTTCCATTGCTGCCAAACCACAAGCACCTCATCCGCTACTTCTTCTCCGATCATCAAGTTGGAATGAGCCATCACAAGAAGTCATCCACCTCATAAAGGGAGGTACTTTTAGCATTCCTAAATTTGTGGAAAAGGAGTCTTCAAGTGGTAAAGTAACTTCTCAATCTAATAATAATGATTCTTCACGTTCTACGTTAAAATAATGTGTTAAATTTTTGGGTAGGGGACATATAACAGTTGAATTCCCCAACAGGAGAACTATAATATTGTTGAAGAATGAGGAGTACATTAGTGAACATTCTACGGGAGAATCATCTAAATCATCTAGCAATGAGGAGGAGGACATGAAGTGTTAAGTACCACATTTGGAGGGTGCTCTTTCTATGGTCAGGAGATTTTTGGGTACTAGGAATTAGGAGGAGGAAGAAACCCAAAGAAGAAATATTTTCAATTCTAGATGTATGGTTGTGGAGGAAGATGTAAAAATGTAACAAGTAAACGACTAGTGGAAAAGCTTGGTTTGGTGATATCTTCAATCCAAGGACTTGGCTAAT